CTATGCAGGTCCATATACTTGCATTAGACAAGAGGACATTTCAACACTCAGAGTGGAGGGGGAGAGAGGGGAACTCTGACCGCCATGGGATATCGACGATCAGGTGAGTATATCTGCTTTATTTTGACCCCCTATAGTCTAGACAAAACGAGCACCTAACCCTTGCAGTACAGGCGTAGTCCCACCGCAAAGGTCAGTTTTCTTTTTGCCCTGAGATACACTTTACAAACAACCAGCAACGGCAGCTTCCATATTTCTATTTCCTTAGGCTCCCTTTAAGAATGAGAGTAAATTACACATTACATAGAGAATTTCCTTCTGGTCCTGCTGAACCTTGTGACCTGTGTGCCCCGTCATAACACATAGACTATGAACCTTGCGTGGCCTATCATAAAGTGTGTCTGCGTGTCAGACGGGCCAGAGGTTGCACCGAAACATGCGTTATAGTGTCATCCCTCCTGTCTGTCATTCGAATATGTAAATAAACAGAAAGAAGATTGCACAGCTATTAATAAATGACTACACAAGTACTGAGTAAGATCTTATTTTTTTGACATATCTGTAGCACTAGAAACATGTTTAACTTCTTAATCCCTTTCTGTGCATTTTGTTATATCTGTTCAATAAGTGCATATAGTTACCCGATGAATCTGCCTGACATCTAGTGAGCTCACTTGGGAGGTGTTCTGTGGTCCATATCAGAAGCAAGCAGCCTAGGACAGGAATCACCTTGCAGGATCACCTTGCGAAAATAAGGGGAAAAAGCCTTAAAGAAGAACTATGGGCAATTTGTTTAACCCTTGCAGTGGGGCTACCCCTGCACTGCAAGGATTAAGTGCTTGTTTTTGTCTAGGTGCGAAAATAAATAAGAGTTATACTCACCTGAACCTCACAGCTGTATAGCCCATAGACCAGTCCTGCCAGCCTCTCTCCACCTCCACTGCTGTGGCCTAAGGTCTTGTGACTCATCATGTCCAATTCACTGGACGCTGAGGGACATACCATCACTGGAGCAGATAGCAAATGATCTTCTATAAACTACTAAAAAACCTTGGCTCATGTAATGGGGGTGAATAGGGGAACACCTATTTGTAGTCCAAGTCTGGAGAGTAACAAATGCTAGTATCTTGCAGTGCTAGCAGAACCAGATATGTGCACGTGTACAGCTACACAGAGAAAACTGTGCTCAATCTAAGTGGAGCAATACAATTTATTAGGAACTCTGCATACTAGTGACATAAAACACCAATACAGCAACCAATACAAACCCCAGTGAGGACATGTAAAAAAGCAAACTATGTGCAGAGGAGAGCAAGACAGGTCAGGAACGGGGGCCAGAAAACAGGTAGCAGGTACTAGGGCATCAGGTGCAGATAACAGGAGGCAGGTCAAGAACAGGGGCCAGGAAACAGGTAGCAGGTACTAGGGCATCAGGTGCAGGTAACAGGGGGCAGGTCAGGAACAGGGGCCGGAAAACAGGTAGCAGGTACAAGGGCATCAGGTGCAGGTAACAGGAGGCAGGTCAGGAACAGGGGCCAGGAAACAGGTAGCAGGTACTAGGGCATCAGGTGCAGGTAACAGGAGGCAGGTCAGGAACAGGGGCCAGGAAACAGGTAGCAAGTACTAGGGCATCAGGTGCAGGTAACAGGAGGCAGGTCAGGAACAGGGGCCAGAGAACAGGTAGCAGGTACTAGGGCATCAGGTACAGGTAACAGGAGGCAGGTCAGGAACAGGGGCCGGAAAACAGGTAGCAGGTACTAGGGCATCAGGTGCAGATAACAGGAGGCAGGTCAAGAACAGGGGCCGGAAAACAGGTAGCAGGTACTAGGGCATCAGGTGCAGGTAACAGGGGGCAGGTCAGGAACAGGGGCCGGAAAACAGGTAGCAGGTACAAGGGCATCAGGTGCAGGTAACAGGAGGCAGGTCAGGAACAGGGGCCAGGAAACAGGTAGCAGGTACTAGGGCATCAGGTGCAGGTAACAGGAGGCAGGTCAGGAACAGGGGCCAGAGAACAGGTAGCAGGTACTAGGGCATCAGGTACAGGTAACAGGAGGCAGGTCAGGAACAGGGGCCAGGAAACAGGTAGCAGGTACTAGGGCATCAGGTGCAGGTAACAGGGGGCAGGTCAGGAACAGGGGCCAGAGAACAGGTAACAGTTACAACTAGGTCATCAGGTGCAGGTAACAGGAGGCTGGTCAAGGGGTTAGCAGAAGGCAGGTCAGGAATGTCTGTTAGTTCCTAACACTTGGCTCCCTTCATAGATACAGTGGAGGAGTGAATGTAGCTACACAGGGACAGGAAATGTGTTATTTGCAAGATTTCAAGGTAAAAACATAGGGGGAAAAAGCCAGGGAATAGAAAACTAATGCAGGCACTTCATCTAAGTAAGTGCAATATATTACAATTCTCTTGTTGGGTTTAGATCTGCTTTATATTGACTTAACACCCAGAATACATTTCTGCAGTTTCTGCAAAGACAGATGCTGAGATCACTGCGCTGCCTATACTGAGAGCTGAAAATGAAATACATTTTTCAGGTTAATAAAAAATAATCTCCTGAATTTCCAAGGGTATCTTCAATCACCCAAACTTTTCACTAGTTGAATGTTTATAAAATGGGCACATTGAAAATGTGACCAATTTGGCCGGATTATTAACCTTCAGTAAGGATGAGCTGTGGTTTATTCCAAACCTGAGCTCATCTGAAACCAGAGGTGAGGCATCAATCAGCTGTGGCCGGGACATGACTATATAAGGTCAGTGATGTCACCAGCATCCCATCTCTTTGTTTACGTCCTGCTGTGGGGTGGGGAAAGACCTGGCAGCAGCTGATTGGGTGTCCACTGACGCCTAACTTCCCGGGTTCGGACCAAACCAAAGTCCATCCCTAGGCTTCAGTTCTAAAAATATATTATACAAACAGATTTAGATTAGGAAACTATGTAACATATGCCTTCTGTAAATGACCCTTTAGGCCCATATCACAATAGCGATTCTGTCATTGTCGAGATGTCACCAGGCTGCAGCTGTCACTCTACCCAATGGAAGTTGCCCTCTTGCTGGCCAATATGCTGCAGAATCTCGATCATTAGCAAGGGAGGAATAATAGAGCGACCAGGGAACAAGGTGAGTGGGCCAATTCTGGTGCTAGCAAGCTGTCAAGAGCAACCAAATGATTGATGTAGTATGATCCTTTATGTTAAAATGAATTGGTCCCATGTTGCATGTAGAGGTAACTCTGGTGCCTTTGGACATGTCTGTTTTGTCTTATATCTTGCCACTGATACAAGGCAAAGAAGAAAAGATAAGAACAAATGAAAACACATCTGATTCTGCAATAAAAGGCAAATGCGTAGCTGTAATCATTTCTGGACCGTATAATGACATAAATGCCATACTTAAAGCTGAACCCCAGCCTTACCTTCAGTCTTGCACAGCTGTACCGGCTTCTCTCCTGCACTGAAATTGTTTATGCAGATTTCACTACACATCATGAGCTTCTCACAGTGTTCATTAGAAGCTGCAGAAATAAGATAGAGGCTGCCTCATTTCCTGGCTGGAGGACATTCAGCATCATTTGGCTCTTTCTTCTCTACAAGGTTCAGCAAAAAATCGCCCTGTTCCCTACTCGGCTTGCAGCGCTTCTCCCTTCCCTTCTCTGTTTATCTTTCTTCTCTAGCCATACTGTCCATGGCCTGCCCCTTACATTTATTAGATTTTAGTTCTTTTCAATCATGGAGGCTCACTATCACATGTAGGTGTTACTCAGGGTGGTCTGCATGCAAATACAATCTGCCTAGGAAGGCCAGCTCCTATAGACACCTGCCCATGAGGGTATTTCAATGTTTGCATAGCCCCTCCCAAGAGTCAGCCTGCTGCTAACATCAAGGCTAAGGGATCTTGAGAGGAGTACTGAGACATAATGCTGTGATGTTTTCAGGACGCTATATACAGCACCCTGCTGTCCCCTCTCACCAGCCATGATCTGCCTGCATTGCACAGAGAAAGACCTACTAATTACATCTCTGGGTCTACAAAAAGGTATGTTATGAACTGGCAAAGGTTTTATTTATAAATTGAATTAGGATTTGATGGGAAATGGAGGAAAGGACCAGGAAAGGCAACCTATAAGCAGATTAAACATCAGCTCTAGAGCCTATCTCCAGGGAAACAAAAAGCCTTCCATACAGTGGGGGCTGTCTCCGCACTGCAAGGGACACCTGCTCGTTTATGTCTAGGAGATTCTGTAAAGCAGTTTCACATTCCTGATCCCTGATGGTTGGCGCTCACCTCCTCTCCTGTATGTGAACTGTCCCTTGGTGTCTTCACATAGAATGCAGGGCTATGGTCCCTGCATTAGACGTGATGACGTCAGTGGGCCTCCAACCACCAGACTGTGGGGAGAGAAGGCTGCGGCCACCGATCCTGGAGCCAGTTAAGGAAAACTGTTTTAAACAGCCCCCCCCCTATATAAAAATGAGTATTTAACCCTTGCAGTGCAGGGGTAACCCCACCGCAAGAGGATTTTTTTTTTCTTCCGGAGATAGGCTTTAAGATGACTTTAATGATGATTACAGCTAAACACGTCAACGTGTTACAACTGCTCTATCTTCAAACTTCACACTTTTCTGTGCACTGTTTATTTGCAGGAAAAAGAACTGGCTGGATCTAAGCCATATAACTTGAAATGTTTCCTCAGTATTATATATAATATTTTATAATATATCAAATTTTATATTACTGCATTCATGAGTTAGCTTCATCATGTTAATTGAAAGGTTTACAGCACACCTGAAATATTGCTAAAGGTGCTATAACCATCTCTGGAACATGGAGAGCCCTAGAGGGCTGCAAAGACCACATAGGGTTGTAGTCCTTTATGATGTGACATTATATCATACTGATGTTTTAGATACAACAGTGGAGTATTTCTTTAACCATGGCGGACACTGGCACACTTCATCCTACCTTGTCAGCATGAGTGCATGGTGTACATCATCCAGGAAGGGACCTGCTGGTAATAAAGATGCTGAAGGTAAAAGTGAGTAGGTGTGTCATAGCAGAAGGTTATCACACATCACCTCATCTATTACCTACTATAAAAGCATCAGCCGCAGCTCTGTGTCCTGGCAGGTGAAAGGTAGGGATTATGTCTGATCTATAAAAGGAAGGAAACTACATGTGTATACATGTTCTGTTGCCTGATCCGTAGATTACTTTTTATACACCTCTGTAGCGAGACTGGTATGTGCCTGATCTCCAAAACCCTGCTGTAGATATTGATTTGTGAAAGAGTCTAAGATTTGCAGTGTATGCAGGTTTGAGGATTTGCTGTGTCATTCTGCTGAAGATAAAGATGTGGAGGGGCACATTTGTGCTTGTGGCATTGCTTTACCCAGCTGCTTTTATCCATGTAAATGGAGAGAATAGCCACATTCGACATAGACGGAGCTGGATTATGCCAGGAACACTGTGGTGTGGAGCTGGGAGCACTGCAGAGAACTTCACCAACCTAGGTGAGATGACAACACCAAAAAAGGGGTATAGCAGAATTTAGTTACAAGGGCTGATTTATTAGATGAGCTTATTACAGTCTACTTTTACTTCTAAAACTGAATCAGCTTAGGGGGGACATTGCTGTTTTAACTATCCTCAATCTGTCTGGATATTTGATGGTGAAAGGGATTCTATCCTTCCCACCCAGTTGTATGTGTGTCCATCAAGGCTAGCTAGAGAGATGTGATTTTCTGGTTTCTGTCAGCAGTACTGAAGTGTTCTGGTTGGTTTATACCTTCAAGGAGCATGCGCCACCTTTCTCTCTGCTCTTCTCAGTATTCCACTGCCTGTCTCTGCTTTCTCCCTTTAAGCTGGCCATACACCTTACAATTATCTGCAGATTTTCTGTGGTCAGATGGAAAAGGTGCAACAGATTCCTCCATCTACACTTAACTGTGTGGATGGAGTAATCTCCACCTGGGCCAATCTGTTGCACATTTTCTATCTGACCACAGAAAATCTGCAGATAATTCTCCCCTGTCTTTGTGCAGCAGGCCGTGTCCCTCTATCCTCACTGTTCCACTCAACTGTGGCTTATTTTCCCCTTGACACTGTGCTGCAGACTGCGCCCTCTCATCCTGAATAATCCACTTCTCAACTGTGGTTTTCTCCCCATCTCTGTGGAGCAGACCGTGTCCCTCCATCCTCGCTGTTTCACTTCTCAACTGTGGCTACTTCTCCCCTCTCTTCGTTCAGCAGGCCGTGTCTCTCCATCCTCACTGTTCCACTCCTAAACTGTGGTTTCTTCTCCCCATGACACTGTGCTGCAGATTGTGCCCTCTCATCCTAAATATTCCACTTCTCAACTCTGGCTACTTCTCCCCTCTCTGTGAAGCACGTTGTGTGCCTCTATCCTCACTGTTCCACTCCTCAACTGTGTCTTCTTCTCCCCATGACACTATGCTGCAGAATGTGCCTTTTCCTCTTCACTATCCCGCTTCTCTGCTATGGCCCCCTTTTCTCTGTCACTTTGTTAGAATAAATATCCAAATAAAAATACATTTATGTGCTTATTACTCTTTTTTGTATAGGATTGTTCCGTGGAGTGGATTTGTGCTGCAGAGAACATGACCATTGCTTTTCACAAATCCAAGCTTTTGAATATCAGTACGGTATCCGAAATTACAAACTGCACACTATATCACACTGTGACTGTGATCAGAGGTGAGTGAAAAATACACTTCCACATGTGGCATAGGGAAAAGTCAGTAACCCTCGGACCGCCACTAGCAACACTTGTGGGCTTCTTCTTGCTTTTATATTTTGAGCTGTAGTGATCCCAGCTCCTTGCAGTGGGTCCACCCCCCACAGGTTCTCTAGGTCACTAGGGCTAGGGTAACTGGGAAAAAGACTTTCACTTACCTGATCCCCACTCCTGCAGGCTCCAGGACCAGCACTCACAGCCTTTTTCCCCCTATGCTATGCAGTCTGAAGCCCTGCTGGTGTCATCACCTACAATGCTGGGCCCATAGCCCCGCATTTTACATGATGGTGCTGAGGGACAGTCAACAAGCTGAAGGCGATTGAGAAGAGACCCGACTAGGGGTGTGGGGGGAACTGGTATCAGGTAAGTAAAAACTGCTTTACCCAATACCCTAGACCAGTGATGGCGAACCTTTTTGAGCCAGAGTGCCCAAACTGGATCACTAAACCAACTTAGGTATCTCAAAGTTCCAACCCTGCAATTAGACCTGAATACAGATGATTTATTTTACCAAAACACTTCATACAACTGTCTGAACTAATTATGTGCTTAAGTCTCAAAATAAAAATATCCACGTGCTACTGAGTGACATGTACGACAGGGGCTCTCTGGGGGGCTGTGCGGCTCTCAGGAGGTTTATAAGGGCTCTGAGATGGTCTGTATGGGCTCTCGGGGGGGCTGTGTGCCTTTCAGGTGGTCTCAAAGGGCTCTCAGATGAGCTCTGAGGTGGTCTTTATGGGCATTCAGGGGGGCTGTGCAGCTCTCAGGTGGTCTATAAGGGCTCTTAGGTGGGCTCTGAGGTCTGTATGGGCTCTCGGTGGGCTGTGCAGCTTCCAGGTGGTCTACAGGGGCTCATACGTGGGCTCTACAGGCATTCAGGTGGTGTGGATTGGCTCTCATGGGGGCTCTGCTGCTCTAATATGGTCTATAAGGGCTTTTAGGTGGGCTCTGCGGGCTTTAAGGTTGTGTGTATTAGATCCCAGGGCGGCTCTTAGGTGGTCTATAAAGGCTCTGTGGGCACTCAGGCGGTGTGTATGGGCTTTCAAGGGGGCTGTGTGGCTCTCAGGGGGGTTGTGCGGCTCTTAGGGGCATCTCAAGCGTAGATGCGGCTCTCTAGACGGCCACTTGCTGCTGGCTAGGGCCCCGAGAAGCCCCAGCAGGCGACCGTCTAATATGCCAGATTAGAGGGCCACCGCTGCCTGATTGTGGCTCTCCAATATGCAGTTAGTGCCCGTGCGCCAGCCAGATAACGCAGAAACTGCCCTTGGTGTCCGTGCGCCTGCGCGGCTTCTCTCCCCGTGGCGTTCTGCAACTCCCCTCAGTGTGCCTGCGTGTCATCTGACAGCGGCATCTGGCATCCCTGAAAAATGTTACTGTGCCTGTGTGCCCATCAGTTCAACAGTACAGCGAAATTGGGCTTGCGTGCCCTCAGAGAGGGCCCCACATGCCCACTCTGGCACGTGTGTCACAGGTTCGCCACCACTGCCCTAGACCTAAAAAAGTAGCTACCCCTTGCAGTGCAAGATTATCTAATTATCTATACAGTAAGGGATTTATTTTCAAATCTCTTGTACCTTGCCTATTCCACCTACACACAACTATAATGGTGGTGGGTCCGTTTTTTAAATTGATGTTTTACAATTGTATTCTTTCTCTCTTTACATATACAGGTGAAACTCGAATAATTAGAATATCATGCAAAAGTAATTGCAGTAATTGCTGCAAAAGGGGCCCAAACCAAGTACTGAGTACATATGCATGCTTGTACTTTTCAGAGGTCCGATATTGTTCTATGTACAATCCTTGTTTTATTGATTGCATGTAATCATCTACTTTTTTGAGGTTGTGGATTTGGGGTTCTTGGGGTTTTCATGAGCTGTAAGCCATAATCATCACAATTATGACAAATCACGGCTTGAATTATCTTGCTTTGCATGTAATGAGTCTATCTCATATATTAGTTTCACCTTTTAAGTTGCATTAGTGAAATAAATAAACTTTGCACGATATTCTAATTATTCGAGTTTCACCTGTACAATCTTTGTTTTTCAAATGACCTTTTAATACATAACAAAGAACCTTAACCTTCATGATTATTCCCATAGCTTCAGACAGTGCCTATATGCTGCCAATGACACAATGTCCACCCTGGTGGGCATCATGTTTTTCAACATCTTGGAGATGCCCTGCTTCACCCTGAGGGAGGAGGAACAGTGTGTGGAATGGCACTGGTGGGGAGGGTAAGTGTGTATCACATCACTGTTGTCAGTCTTGCATAATATCATGTTCCCTCAGTAAATTACATCACGCGTCTGTATTTTATTGAATAGCTGTAAAAGAAATGGCTCATCACCAAAAGCTGAACTTCAGAAGCCGACATTGTTCAACAACAGTAACACTGAAGACAAGCAAACTCCTCCACATCCACATGGTTCTCCTCCACATAAAGGCAAACCTTCTTCACTCTCCTTATCATCTATGAACTCTGTTAAAAGTAAGAGTAGACTGCTAAAAAAGCTAGAGAGGGTGCAAACAAACGCATTTGTAAAAGGCAGTGGAGGAATCACAGCGGACAGAAGAGGTTCAGAGGAAGCTGAAAAGAAAAGGTCACACAATTTCCGAAGGAGAAGGCAATGGACCCAAGAGAGGAACAGAAGGAAAGCTAAGGCACGAAACAGCACTGTCTCAAATTCACAGATACCATTATTGAGAGCAGATTGAGCTCACTGACAGAAGAAACCACCATAAACTAGTAAGGATAAACATATTAATGACTATAAAGCTCTGAAGAATCTGGTTTTACTGATTGAGAGGAGGAGGCACTTTCCAATATCTGGATATAAACTCCCATATGATGACTTTGGTTAGGAAATGTTTTAAATGAATAGTCCCCTTGTAGTGGGGCCACCCCTGCAATGCAAGGCTTAACTGCTTGTTTTTGTCTAGGGGTGTTCTTTAAACCAGTTTTACTTACCTGTTCCCCGCTCCTATGGTGATTGGCGCTCACCTCTCCAGTTGTGGAATGTCCCTTGGCATCCTCATGTCTAATGCAGGGCTATGGACATGATAATGTCAGCAAGCCTCTGACCACTGGAAACCTAGGGGGGAAAGAGGCTGTGGGCACCAGTCTTGGAGCCAGGATCAGGAAGGTAAAACTGCTTTAAAGAATCCCCCTAGACCAAAAAGGAGCAGTTAACCCTTGCAGTTTGGCAGCCCCCACCCCAAGATTTTTTCTTCTTCTGGAGATAGGCTTTAAATATCATTTTAATTCATGTTTTATTTACTTCGATTCAAGTCAGGCTGTCTTAAAAGTAAAGCATATGTCAGACTTGTTATTTTATTACTAATATTCTAGAGCTGCTTCCCATGCTAAATCCCCCTGTGCTGTTACTCTGGAGATCTGGAACGCTGTTCTTACACAAAGCACAGTGGTCTGGTTCTTCAGCGGTGTTACGCCCCCTGCACAGTGCTCCAATCAAAAACACTGCTCAGGGTTTGTGGGTGTTGGTGATTGGAGCAATGGTCCCCATGTGGAACCAAGTTACATTTTAGGCAGCCTGATTTCATCACAATAATAAAAAACAAGGGGTTCAATTAGACATTTAAAGGTAAGGAGAAGTATAGATCAATAAACACACACAGGAATCAAGGGATGTTGGTGCGCACTTCTAGCCATGGGCACCCTTGACACCAAGCTGCATTCAATTTACACAGACTAAAGGCACCAACTGTTTCACAGAGGTGATAGAGCATTGCAGAAATATTGGAAGACGTGTGTTGAGGGCACAGTATGAAACCTTAATATCCCTTATCTCCATTGCACTCTGCAGTTTCTTTGCCTGTCTGTCAGTTTTGGGCCTCAATAGGTTAACTCCCATGCAGAGGATACAGGCACAGGGCATGGAGATAAGTGACATTCATACACTACACTCACCTCTCCATCTCTGGTTTAAGTGAAGCTACCCTTTTTCTAGATATACTGTAATGCATTGCATACAGCTTGTATAGGAGCAGTGTATACAGCTTGTATAAGATCTGTGTACAGCTTGTATAGGAGCAGTGTATACAGCTTTCATAAGAACAGTGTATACATCTTGTATAAGATACGTGTATGCAGCTTGTATAAGAGCAGTGTATATGGCTTGTATATGAGCAGTGCATATGGCTTGTATATGAGTAGTGTATACAGCTTGTATACAATCAGTGTATGCAGCTTGTATAAGATCCGTGTATACAGCTTGTGAAAGAGCAGTATATAGAGCTTGTATATGAGCAGTATATAGAGCTTGTACATAAGCATTGTATATAGCTTGTATAAGATCAGTGTATATAGCTTGTATAAGATCAGTGTATACAGCTTGTATATGAGCAGAGAATACAGCTTGCAAGCTATTACAGCGCATTTCCAACGCTTTAAGCAAGCTTTGTTGGACCCTTTAAAGTACCATTTAGTGGGAGTGCTGACTGTCACTTTAAACATGCTGCTAGCAGGCTTTAGTAAGTTTCAGCACAACTTGAAGCTTGCTGAACACTCACTGAAGCCTGCTAGCAGCATGTTTAAAGTGACAGCACTCCCATTAAGATCTGTGTTTAACATTCCTTAACTGGAGCTGAATAGTGCTTTGAAGGCTTCAAGAAAGCTGCTCAAGAAAGGCTTTGCAAAAGCTTGTTGTTAACACTGCTCTTATATAAGGTGAAGACTGTGTGCAATTAGACCTCACACATACTGTATTTTACATGTTCTCTTCTTCCAAAAACAAACCGCTATGAAAAGTTTACCAGGAAAAGGTTTGTGCTACCCACAGGTTAGAACATAACAGGAAGAGCCCCTATGGGTACTTGGACAATGCAGTCCCTTTGAATACCATTAGATCACAAATTGTATTACCTCAATGAGAAAACAAAACTATAGAAGCATTTCAATGCAGTATTTACTTGTATAGATGTATAAAGAAGTGTATGCCTGCTGACTTCAGTGAACAGAACATTTTATCAGTGTCAGACTCTCAGAATTAGAGAGGTGGATGTTGTTTTGGGATAGAGCATGTTATAGATGAGACTTCAGCAATTAAGCACAGATCGTGAATGTGTAGAGGGATAGATCACCTATAAAATGTTGTAACCTATAAAAAGTGTAAATATCAAAACATTATATGAATTTGTAAGTGTTAAAATATAATCATGTTATGTAAATGTGTATGATAGGCTTACAGCTCTATTTATATAAGTTCTACCAATAAATACATGTACTGTGTATAAGTTCTACCAATAAATACTTGCACTGCAAGAAAATTCCCCAAACCTGCATTTGAAGAAGAGCGTACTGCTATAATTTATATATGTAAACACATGCAAATGCACACATATACAGAGGTACAAGTGTAAATTAATTCCACTGGCTAGAATTATTTAATATTCTAGCCACTAGAATGAATTTACGTGCATACGCTTCTGAACACTGTACGCACACACGTGCGCTTAAACACAAGTACTTTACGCGCCATTACATGCACTTTTTCACGCTGGTTCTTTCTGCCACCCTCTGACAGCAAGATCCAGCATAGTTATGAGTATTTAAGTACGCCCGTGTGCATGAGCCCTACATTTTTTACTTGATGCTATATGTATCACTGAGTTCTACAGTGAAGGAAAGTGAACAACTCCTGTTATGTATGATCCTAATGTATAAAACATTTTCAAGGAAGAAAGCTAGATATTGACTCTCGGAATATCTGTGAGCATTCACTCTTAGCAAATATATGCAAAAATGAACATTATTTTCTTTACAAGTACAATGAATTTTCATGTCATATTGCATTATGGCCACCAGATGGAGCTAAAGGAGTTGAGGGAATAATTATTTATCAGGGTTATTCACAAAAGGGTGAAGAGTTTGGAGAAGGCAGGAGAAGTGAACAATCAAGGATAACGTAGCTGAACTGGAAATTGAGTGGGATTGGAGTATTTTTCTGAATCAGCTATGTTGTCCTAGGTTGTTCACTTCTCCTGCCTTCTCCAAACGCTTCACCCTTTTGTGAATAGCCCTGTTTTTTTCTATGCTCCTCATTGTCATCTAGTGGCCATAATGTAGTGTTACATTGGAAAAAATTGTAAATGCATTGCCTTGTAAAGAAACAACTAAAGAACTTTTATTTATGTATACATGCAAAAAGATCCAACATTCACAGACATTTGCAGGGTGAAGAGCCCTGTGCATAGCTTATAAATAGACACCTTGGTGCCGTGTCTGACCTCTAAAGAACCAATCAAAGCATGGTATCCGTTTGGTGTGGACAAACAAATGAAAAGTAATTTCTGATTGATCGCTGTAACTTAATGCACCTTGTGTGTAACTACATCAAGGCCAAGATATCCAATCACAAGCAAACAATTTTATCAAGTTTTGTGCATGACACCATATAATAAAACATGTTTGTGTTCATGTTGGATCAGGCAAATAACATTAAGTGCAAAACACATTTGAAAACAAATTAAACTATTTCCATCCTGGCTGTGCAAGAAGCATACACCCACCAAAAAATAGTCTGTCTTCACACAATTAAACACTATGCCGTTTTGTTTAATTTAGCAAATAATTTAGTAAATAAAGAGTGAAAATGAATGCGCTTAAAATACTTTGACCAAACGTTTCATTGAAGTTTCAGTGCAATTTGGGTCCTGCTTGAGGTGAAACCGTAAGCTATGTTGATAAATTTTGTTGGAGTCGATTTGGCAATATTACATATAATATCCATATGCACAATAGACAGTGAAATATTGACAACGAATGAAACAAAATCCGCTTCAATATACCATTAATCATAGAATATTTCATTTATATTTCTCAAATGAATTCATAGAATTTATTATCCAGTTATAAACCCACTTTCAGTGCAACTCCATTTAACGTTTATGATATATATATATTGCCCACCGTGAAATGTAAGATTTAGCTCTTTTGTAGCTTTTTGTGTCAGATTTAAGATTAAATAGGACCCAGTTTATTGGCTGGAACAGTCACATCCATGATAAAGCATGACTGTTTTACTCATCTGGTTTGTAGACCTATACTGACACCTAGTGGTGACTTGGAGAATTCTAGGACATTAGCACAGCTTTGATTTTATATATCATAGTGACACCACATATACTACAATATGCTCTAAACATTTTTCTGCTCTGCTGTCTAATGGCCAGATAAATTACACATTTTTAATCAAGTGCAAATGACTTCTCTACTTTGCTTTCTGTTGGCTTTGAGTTTGATTGTGTGAGTCTTTGGGCTGTGGGGCAGCAGAGGTTGGCCAGCTGTCATTTCCTGTAGGGGAGACTGGCTTTGTCCCTTGCGGATTGAAGCCTTGTCCCACAGCTTCTGGTCTTACGGTGGGCACAGCAGCGGAAAGGGGCCCCTGAGGGCTGTGGATTTTTTTACCTATGGATTCCCGGGTTGTATCCCTAGATCTAGGCCTTTGAGGCCGCTCTTGTTTGGGGCTCTTAGCTCTGCGTGGAGATGGACTGCGGCTCTTCTGTCGGGAGGTACTAGGAATTACAAGGTCATGCAGACGTGAAAGAGCCGGACTCCTGCTCCGTGGGGAACGAGCATTGGCAGGGCTGGGGCTTCGGGATTTGGGTCGGAGTAAGACATGAGTGCTATTGTCATCCTCTGAACTGGAGTCAGAGCTGTCAGAGGTCGAGTTTTCTTCAGAGCCTGGCAGACAGAT